CCCAGCCCCATAGCACGCAGTTCCTGTGCTCCTGCAGCATACGGGGCCAGCCCAGCCCAACCCCCTAGTGCATGGCTCCCTGCGTTCCTGTCCCTTTCCCCCAGCAGAAGCCCCTGGCCCCAGCCTGGTGGGGCTCATACCTGCATTCCCACTCTTGCAAGGAGGCAGGAAACAGCCAGGGGTGGCCAGCAAAAGCCTGTGCCAGGCAAAGGCTTCTTGTCTCCACTGCTCCCTAGTTCAGAGCTGGGGGTGGGTCAGGCCAGGCTTGTGTGGGGGGAGGGCTGCTTAGAAACCAAAGCGGCACCTCCTTCAAGGACCTGCTGGCTTGCAGAGAGGCAGCAAGGGCCAGGCTTACAGAGGGGCCCCGTGGACCAGATAGAATTGCCTGGCAGGCCAGATCCAGCCTGCAGGCCATATTTTGCCTACCCCTGGGCTAAGTGAACAATCTTTAAAGCTGCATTTTAAGTAGATATAAGCAGACCAAGACTGCATTTGTCAAGGGCACACAACAGCCTGTTGAGGAAACTGAGATGACAAGGGCCCAAATGAGCATTTCAGTTTTGTAAATGAATAGGAAAAACTATGCATTACAGGTGGCTTGCAGAGACTGCAAGACAGAGTCTGGAGGCAAGAATCTTGAGGGCAACCCAAGCTGAAGATGAGACCTAGGTTTCTGGCCTGGGTGGTCAGCAGGATGGTAGCATGGACTATTCATCAAGCAAAGGAGTGGGTGGGACAGAAATTAAGCACACTAAGCATGAGCTGATAAGCAGACACACTCAAAGAGGTATCGGTCCAACATTTTAATTTTGACAGAAGAGCAAAGAGCAACTTCTGAGCTTAGAGTTGGTAGTTTAATTTTTAATTGTAGATTATATTAGCCAGAAGTAAAGTGTAAAGGGAAAAGAAAATGAGGCTAAGAGAAAATGAGACTAAGAGCTCTGCGAACATCCACAGAATGGAAGGGGGGTGGGGGTGGAGATGAGGATCCTCCAAAACACAAAGTAAACAGGTAGGAAGAGAATCAGGAGACAAATTCATAGAACCAAGGTAGGACATGGTTATTGCCTCTACACAACAAATTTACTGAGTTGACTAATCAGCTCCGCAGTAAACATCTTGGCATCTACACATGCAGCCCTATTAGGCCACAGGAAACTAATAAACTCCATAGAGTAGGTAGAGTTTTTTGTGCACTGCAGCTGGCCTGCCCCTTTGTGCACAGCACCTTGAGCACCCTTGTACCTCAGCCAGCCGCTCTGCAGCACGCTGAGATGGGTTGGAATTGCATTGGGCTGATAGGCTGACCCCCTAGGCCCCCTGCCAGCTGGGGATGCTCTGACCCAGCTCAACACGCTGTGGTCCAGGGCACCATGTGTAAACATGGCACCCAGAAACAATAAACTCCAACATGATACATGCCAGAGTTTATTGTGTCATATTAATATGCAGGTGTAGATGCACCCTATTTCAGAAAGAACACGATCAGTGGTGTTAAAGGCAATTCACAGATCAAGGAGGATGAAGATAAAGTACTGGACATGAACTTTGGCTAGCAAGTGATCACAGACTTTGACACAAACAGTTCCAGTGGCATGCAAGGAGTAGAAGCCAGCTTGAAGATCTCCAGGCAAGACTCATAAAGAGCGTGTTTAACTTAGAGATGAAGCAGTAGCTAGAGACACAAGTCAGGTCACGGATATGATTTAAAGTGAGAGAGACTAAAGCACATTTGCTTTATGAGAGAGAGCCAGGAAAGAGCTATAAGTTCAGGAGCAGAGTAAATGAATGGATAAGTGGGGGATTTCAAGAGACTAAATGGTCCCTGAAGCAAGTGGGGTTTTAAACGACAACAGCAGATACCAATTCAGCAGGTTTGTAAGAGAAAAAGAGAAGACAAGCAGAGGTAAAGGGGAAGTCGATTTCCTTTTGTCAGCTTTCTCTTGGAAGAAATCTGCAAGATGCTCTGTAGAGAAAGGGAGGTAAGGTATAAAGTGAGTTTAAGAAATTCAACTTGTTGAACTGCAGTGCGTATTCTGAAAAGATATCCAATTCCAGATCTCTGGCTGGTGTTGATTATCATAACTCCAGTGGTATTAAGTTATAGAGAATCTACCATAGCCCCAAGTTGTTCATAGAGTGCGCATAAACTATCCATCAGAACATTTGTACACTGTGAGTGGCCTTCTTTTTCTTTCTGGTCATCTACCTAGCCTTACCAGCACTTCATATACAGATAGCCTTTCTATTTCCCAGTAGCCTGAATTTATAGTGTGAATGTTTACATATGTATGGAGACTGAGCACACACAGTGCACTATACAGTGGCTGCTTAATGTGCCTGGCTACACACACAGCCTTTTTGCTGGTATGTAGTTAGCTCAAACCCACAACTAGCAAGTATTAAGCTTCAGGAGGAGACAGAAGGCTTTCACATGTTTTGGCTGTAATAGCTGAGTGGTTAGGGCATTTTCCCACTCCCCACAAGGAAACCAGAGACCTGGGTTCTACATGCCCTTTGCCCAGAAGGGGTTTGAACCTTAACCTCTCTAGCCACCATGTCACTGATCAGGCTTTATTAAAACCTTCCTCTCGTGTTCCTTTTGAAGCTTGGCCCTGGGCAGCCATGAGCAAAAGATACATAGAAAGTATGTGGCACCTGGAGAAAAAGAACAAATCGGAGGGTGTGTAGGTCAACAAAGTGACTGCTAGGCTGGAAGGGAAGGAGACTTCAGTTTTATCCTGGAGCCTTGCCCACAGTGAGGCAAGAATTGTCCCACATTCATTTTTGTTCCCTAATGACTACATGAAATACAAGGGGAAGAGATTCAGCCACAAAATAAATACTAGAAAGTGCCTAACCTGTAGCATGATGGCTAGAGTGCTACATTGTGAAGTTAAAGAACCCTAGGTTCAAACCCCCTCTGGGTGAGGCCCTACAATTCATGTCTCTGGTGTTCCAGACAAGTAGTCTAGTTCCTCAGCCACTGGGACCAGAATAAAGTGGGCTCTCTTTACTGCCCAGCTATGTAATAACATAGCCAAATACACTGGCTACCTGTATCTAATGGCCAAAAACACTATACAGACAACTAAAAGGAAGAAGAATTAACTTCTACCAGATTTAATTTTCAGCACCTTGATTTTGTTATGCCTTTGAAAATTTTAAAAACTTTCTAGTATCAAGTATCTCCGCCCTACCTAGCTGCTGTATTTCTGTGATCTCTTTGACAAGGGAACAGAGTGAGTTCTTGGTGTTTTTCATTATAAAATGTAATTTCCAGGCCTCAGAATTCTTGTTGCTCCTTTTTGAATGCACTCCAAGGTTTTCAACTTCCTTTTAGAAGTGTTGGCACCTGACTTGGACACGATCTTCCAGCAGCAAGCTTACCAGTGGCCTATGCAAAAGCAATACCAAGCAAGCCTCTACTTGATATTCTTCAGTTTGTCCAGTCAAGTATCATTTTAGCCATTTTAAACTACAGTCCTACGTTAAAGCCCATAATCAGCTGGTTGGCTACTATGATTCCCAGTCACACACAAGTCCCTTTTCCTAGATGTATAACCTTGCATTTCTCTATTATTACAGATTTCACTGCAAGAGCATACAATAACATCCAAGTATTTGTGTTTATGTATTGACACCATATAAAGTTGCAAAGATTGTTAAACCTGACCAGTAATATCAAAAAAAAAATTGAATGCTTATCTTGCTGAGATCCTATGACCCAAGCTGACTTCCTGCCTTCGGGCAGGGGGGCTGGACTCAACGATCTTCCGAGGTCCCTTCCAGCCCTAATGTCTATGAAATCTATGAAATGTCTTATGTTTTCTTCAAGATGTTTGTTAAAAACATTGATTACCACTGGGCTAGGAATAAATTCTTATCAGGCCCTGTTAGCAACACCCCCCCACCTGAGGATTCCTATTAAAGGTTACATTTCAAAATATGTTCGCCAGACTTTTTCATTTTAATACATTCCATATTGATTTCACAGCGCTTTTAATCTGAATCGCATATAACAAGGTAATATAAGTACACTGCTGTCAGTTATTTGACACTACTATAGCTACTACAGTTACCCTTGCAACCAATTTGCAGTTTCAAAGAACAGGATTGATTTAGCCAAACAAACCAAGCTGCTTGGCATTAATTACACTTCCATACTTTATTGATCAGCTACTTCTTTATTTTCCCAAGGATCAATGTCAGGCTAACTGGTCTACATATTATACACATTCTATTTACTCTTTTTAAAATTATTGGCACAATATTAGCTTTCTTCCTTTGAAATTTCCATGGAATTTCATTAAAAATTAACAGCAAATCTCCAGAGTACCTCTTGGCCAACTCTATAACTATGAATACAGCTATGAAATCAAACTTATTTTACAGATGCTATTTGACAGCCTCCTTCATTACTGCTGCTATATGAAGTGCACCATGCCAGTTTTCATTCCCAATACAGAACAAAAACATACACACATGGATGTAGTGAATGTGCAATTCACATGGATTTTTCAGTGCACAGTCTTTCCTATGTGCCTGTTGAAGGCAAAAAGATAACTACAGGACATAGAAGGTTGACCTGAATCTAAGGTTACTTACTGCTAACTCCCATACTTCTTAATGTTTTTTTTAGACATTTACTTAACTTTTTCAGAAAGTTGGCTTGAGTATTCAATTCACCATCCTTTAACCTACAAATATACCACTGCACTTCTCTATCAGAGCCAAATGTAAACCAATTTGCTAAATCTACTTGGTCAGGAAAACTATTCTGTGGCCTGTGTGAAATGAACTGGCGGTTTCAGTCTAGTTCCTGGTGGACAGGTGCCCACACCACAGAAACCAACACTGCACTTGGCACCACTGTTGGCAGTTTCAGCAAAGAGGCCAAAGATCAAGAATCTAGAGACTGAGTTACTCTCTAACCCAAACAGATGCCTCAAAGTTCAAGACAAAAGTACACAACTGGGGAACCATGTGGGGAAACTCACATAGTCAGGAGCACAAACTGTGGCCCTTTTCTTTTTCTTTTTTTCCCCACAGGGAGAATTTGCATTCCTTTACATGTTAATTCTGTGAAAGGACATGAATTAAGTTAAACACATACATGTAAAAACAAAAGCCATACTCATTACTAAAGACTGATGATGAATGCTAGATCTTGCCATCTTCACAAGCTAAACCATCACTAATCTGAACAAGGAGAACACGAAGCAACTGCATGACTGGATTCAAACTCAAGAAAATTAAGTAATTACAATAGCAGAACTAAAGCTGGCAGTCCATATAACTGGAGTTATACTCTGACATAACTTTTTATTCATAATTATTTTAATAATTTAATAATAATTTCAAATAATGAAAGAAATCTCAAGATTACTTACAATTTATGTGTATACAGAAAACAACACCTGGTACTCACCGTAATACTCAGAGCAACCACCTCAGTCAGATACCTGACTGCACCTGACTGAAATTAAGATAGGATTAATTACCATATTACTGTACAATATATATCATTAGTAATTAATATGACAGAAGCCTAAATCACTAAGAATATAATTTCAAACAAACTGGGTTGGAGCAGGGGGAGGAAGGAGATTAGGATTATCTCCCAATTTAAGTGTGGTACAAAGATCCTTGAAATTAGAACACAACAGAAGGTTGAACAAATAGTAATTCATTTGGATCATATCCTAACCCTGGCTCATGCACAAAGACCCTACTGAAATCAAATCAAAGCACCAAAATAGTTTTGTATGAAACCAGAAAGTATAATATAGACCTTTTTACCCACATTTAAACTACATGGAGAAAAAATAATAATAACAAATAGCGAGCATGTCCTGAATTAGCATCTGCTCCTCCATCAAATCTCCTTAAAATAATAACTTCTAACCTTTTATCCACAGATCTTAAAGCATTTTACAAAATGCTTTAAGGACATAAGCAGAGCTACCTCCACTGTACAGATAAGGAACACAAGGAAAAGGAGGTGAACCAAGTTCACAGCAAGCCGGTGACATACAAAAATGTGTCTTCTGGATCCCAGTCCAATGTCCTAACCATTCAGTCACTCTCTCCAGTTCACTTACTTTGTGAATTTAATACACAGTTTGTGGGTCTTCCAGGCAAGACTACTGTTAACTCAGCATAAAGCTGACTAGATTTCAAAACAACTCTTTACTTTTCACCTGCATCCTACTGACAGAAGAAAACCATTTCTTTCATTCTATGTCATTCCCAAAAATGAGTTATTTTAAAATAAGTGAGTTTATCATATTGTATTAGTGAATGTATTGATCATGCAAGAAAAGACCTAATGCTGTTTTTCTTGTGATTTTTTTAACTTAATATTCCCAGGAAGCTAATGTAACTGTTCACAAACTTATTGTAAAACCTCAGCCATTTCGTTAACTTAGTCTATAATCTAATGAAGACAACCAAAGGATGGTAACTGTATAGTCAACTAGATTTTTTATTTATTTATTAAAGACGTGACAAGTTATCTGGGGGAAAAAACTGAATTTGACTGCTTTGGTGACAAATACATGCATTTTGAGGTCCCAATCTTTACAAAACTCTTAACTGTTTCAAAGCCAATGGACTTAGTGGGAGATGAGGATGCTCAGAACCTCAAAAAGGGTCTGTCTTCATATAACAGAATTGGACTCAAGGGTTAAGAAACCAGTTTTTCATTTGGTCCACAGTACTGAAATGTCTTTTGAGCTGAGCCAAACTTAAATAAAGGAAAGATATCAAGTTAATTATATTTAATTATATTTATTGGTCATCTAGACCCAGCCCTCTTTCCTGCCTATGCAGGGGGTCAGACTCAATGATCTATTGAGGTCCCTTCCGACCCTAACATCTATGAATCTATATTCAATATTAATAAGCATATTAATGCAACCTCGGTACAGGTGAAAATTCAATCATATAGTATAAGCATACTAATTTTTTTGAACAGAAAGATTTTATTTACTGCTATTTCTGCTGTTCACTATTAGAATGTTTGGTATCAGCAATTTTCAAAGTAAATATCAATCTGCATTTTTAATGCATTTTTTGCTTTTTCATTTTTTAAGGAAAGTTAAATCTATTGTTGACGAAACAAGTAAGAGAAATAATGGATGAGAATATTCACGTTTGCAGACACTGTTTGTAGGATGGTTTTCTGTGATGCTACTGATTTATCAAGATATTTTTTCCCCACTTATCAAAACACTCTCTATACCCGCTTGATTCCAGATCCTATTACCTTTATGGCACATCTACACATGTATTCAAGCGCGACAAAATTCAATGAGGATTAAGCTAATACACATTAAGTCATTTTTGGCACGTCTATAGATGCAAGGACTAGGCACTACAGTTGGTGCATCTGGCACCAAGTCCCTGCAACCCTGCCATGTGCCCCTAGCGGCTGGGCAGCCCCGGGCACTAAAGTTAGTGCCAGGTCGTGTCTACACATGCCATACTGTGCTTTAACTAAAAGCACCTAAATTTGATACCTGCATTTGCAGGTATCAAATTTAGGTGTGATTAGTCTAATTTTGCCATTTTTAATGGGCATTAAGGGCATGCACACGTAGATACATGCCTGTTTAGGCTAATGCGCATTAACATGTCTCATGCAGACATGCTCATAGTGCTGAAGTATTAATCATACTGCTTTTAACTACTGTTTCACATATTTATAAAGAAACAAAAACATTCATTCCTACCAGATGATGGTTGTTAATCAAGAGTTCTAACTAAACTAAACTACTTCATCCTGGAATACCACCACTGATCTGGACTACACCTAGGTAGCATCTTTATTGCTGCTGATATTCAAGATTTGACAATTCAGACAAAAGCTAAACACACAGAATGCACTGAAATTAAATAGAAACCCTGCAAATCTGGTTTGAGGTTTCTTAAACTGTGTTGATGCACAGTCTTAAGCCTTGAAAGACAGTAGCTGTATTAAAGGATGCTGCAAAACCTATGTCACTATTTTCTAAAAGGTGTATTTGGAAACACCAGCGTACTGTGTCTTGAAATCATCTACCCTGTTTAAACTGGAAGAACCACTCGGTGATTACCATCGCTTCTACACTAGGATGACACACAAACACAAAGCTGTTGCAGAACATAATTATCCTCTTGACTGTACATTTGCTGCAAGGTACACATCGTTTTTGCCGGGAGCAGCAGATGCCTAGAAAAAGCGCAAGGGTTTCATTGTGAGAACAAGCGCCCGGCTGTCAGGGTGACACCGCCAGGGCAAGTCGACTGCACCGCTCGGCCATCTGTAGACAAACACACCGACTCCTTCTGTCCCTCCGCTCGTACCCGACACAGGCTGCCTCTCTTCCTTTCTTCAGGCTCCTTGTAACACCAGCACTTTTCTTTCCCAGCACTTCCCTGAGCAAATGTGGCTTCGTTTTTCCCCCCTCCCTCAGAAATGCCTGACCTTTGTGGGGGGCGAGGGAGTCAAGGGGGGCCCAGAGCCTCCAGCCGTCCCCGGCCCAGCCGCCCCCGCCCCCGCGCTGGCAGGAGCCGCCACCCGGGACCCCGCTGCCACGCGTCTCCTCCCACAGCGCTTGGCCGCTTCGTGCCCACAGCGACGCTGGGAGACGCGTGAGGGGAGCCGGGGCGGCGGCTGAGGGAGACCGTGCGCAGGGGAGGCACAAGGGCGGGCTGGGCTTGGGGCAGGCGGTGGCAGCGGCGAGGCGAGGCGAGGGCCCCGGCCCCTGCCCGCGGCCT